TTTGGCAAAAAACTGTCAAACGACAACAAAAAGACTTTTTGACAGTGACTCATTAAGAAATAAAATTATGGTTTATAGATCACTGCATGACACGTTTGTGACGTTGTTAAGCGATTAGAAGAAACCGTATCATTGTCAGTAATAATTTGTAAATATCATCGGAATAGAAGTGATAGGAGATTTAACGACCAATAAATTCTCACTGTAAATAAGTGGAATTGCGGGGTTCAAATAAACTGATGTACTTTCAGAGTTGGACTATCCGTAATAAACGAACGGTTTAGAAATTATTGAATTTATTTCACAAATAAATTTATCCTTAAAGGTTTCTTATCCAGAATATGCCAATATCAAACTCTTTGTTTGATAAATGAACTGGCGTTATAGCAAAAAATTCGAGTTATAAATATACACTTTCTCAGCGAGTCACCATTAACATGTTTATAAGATGGATATATCTTGGTTTGGGTTCCAGTGGTTTAAAAAAGTTCTCTGGTTGAAACTATAACTTTTTCTTGCCATTTTCACAAAGTTTTTTGACTATTCTCTTTCTGAAAGGCTATAACTGTTTGTGGCATCGTTCTTATTTATTTTTAAAAACTTGTTTCTGTCCTTACTGATATTTTGGAACTGCAGGTACCTTAACGTCTTCAACACCTAAGCTTTTTAGCAGAAAACTCGACCTTGTTCAAAGTGTTTTCATAAAGTTAAGTTTTAAATTTTTTATTTTCTACGACTCAAAAGTTTTTGATTTTTGAAATCAACAACTGATTTTTTATTTAACTTTTTCTTATAGAGCAGTGGATTTTTTTTGCAGTTAATGACACACAAGAAGTATTTGGTCGGCTGCATATCCACAAATGTTCACTCAAAGACTATATTCTTCCCCAGGTGAATTGGTAAAACCAGCAAAAAATTGAAAATCATTGAAGTCGGGTGCAGCAGCATCTGGCCCTGTCCCGTAAGTGTGTCAATATCTTAATAACAGTTTTTTATATTAGATGAACTATTTTTATTTTTTGTAAGTATCAGCACTGTACAACAACTTAAAAATAAACGGCTTACTATAAAACGGCATCTCCTTTTTTCTCAAATTCTACATACTTACTAGTTATATCCAACCAATCGTACCAACTGGTAATAATCCTACTTTCATCAGATATTCCTAAAAATATTTGTTGGCTTTTTTTCCCGCTGTAGTTTATGTATGTAAATTTTTTCAATTGTTATTTGTGAGCTGCAGAAATGAGCAAACAGCTATTGATACACAAGCAATAACTTTTATAATGACATAAGTTTGTTTAACACTGCAAAAGGCATACTTGTGCTCGATTAAGATATGCATTTATAAAAGAATGTGTTGATAAGTGTCATCAAGCCACATTCTTATTGACGTTACCTAAATACAGTAGTAAATCACATAAAATATTGCACAGTTATTATTTCTTGCTGCAAGCGTGATCAAAAAATAAACTACAGCTTTTACGTGGAAACTGCTGATTCAGCAAAACTTTGAGAGGCAAATGTCAAACCCGTTAAGCTGCAAAAGTTCATCTCAATGCCTAAAAAAGGCGAAAAAACCTTAAGCCATATTGGCGGCATAGCCTGCTTCTGTTGATATAATGCAAACTAGAGTTCAACATATTGCTTTTCTGCTGATTTTCCACTTCTTGGACTAACTTCTTCGTAAACCTTTACACTCATACCAACTGAAATTTTGAACAGCAACTTTATTGCGTTAATCAAGATAAAATTTCTTAAAAATTTTTCTTTCCTACTTTAGTGCATTCAGGTCAGAAATCTGATAAGTATGCAATATTTTGATTAACAGATGAATCAACTGAAGCGTCAGAACCGCGGTTGTGATACCCTCCAAAAACTGCAGTTTTATATCTGTTATGATAGACACATGATAGTCCATCTAGCGTTACCGATGAATTAATACCTATAGCGTTAACATAACTTCCATCTTCCTCAAATTATTTGCGGTGTTAAACTTATCTAAATTCGTTGTCTGAAAAATTTTGTGTTTACAATCGATGTGACATCCTTCTCTCAAAGCTTGGTAATGTATAGCCAAAAAAACTTTTCTGCTCACACTGATAGAGCAGACCTGGTCATAGTGGTGATGAACAAGTAGAGCATTTAGGCCCAGTAAAAATAGTGCTTTATTATACCTACAGATTTTACAAAGATTTACTTGCCAAATGTTTTGAGCCATCGGCCTTATCAACATAAAATTTTCTATACTTACAAAACTTGCCGCATTCACTCAGATTTTAAAAAGACAGAAAAAAAAAAATCAAAGTGGAACTGTAAGCGGAAAGCTGTGTTTTGATGGCTCTCAGAAGGGCAAAATGAAGCTGAAAAGACGACAATTCGGTCTGCTTTCGGGAGGCTACCAGTGCTTTTATGCATCTTTCACCGTTTCAAATGCTTTTATACTTCAAAGAAAAAAGATGAAATTAAAAAGCTTGAAAGCAAAATCTTTTTTATTTCAAATTTTCACAAATGTATGAAATAAAGATAATGAAAGAAAAGTTGGTGTAGAAAAAAGTGAACGGGCAGTGTCAGTTACCCAGTGTTTCGTTAAACCAGCAAATAATTTGCCAGTGGTCAATGTTACTAACTATTCACTAGACAAAAAAAAACAAAAAATTTTTTTTTGTCATCTTGAATTAGTTATGATCATTTTGATTTTAAAAATTTTCTTTTCTAGTTATAAACAATTAACTATTTTTTGCAGCAACAGTGTAAACTCTGGAATTTGCTGCTACAGCTTTTTAGTCTGGTTTGGTTTTGGTCTGGTTTGGCTTGTTCTAATTTCTAATTCTTTTGAAGGAAGAAAACTTTGAGTAGCAAACAGCAGAATCAAAGTGTATTTTTGTGCATCTTTACATATTATACGCATAGAAAAAGCAGATATAAATGTTTTTTTCTGAACTGTACAATTTAATTGATATTCATTGTTCGCTGGTGATTGCAGTAACGAATATTACATGCATTGCAATTTATTCTATTCTGATACAAAAATAAATTGGTCATTAAATAGACGTAAAAGAATGTAAACGTTTAAAGTTGCAACAAATTCTAATAACAGAAGAAAGCGATTGTCGTCGCAGTCTTTGAGAAGTAGTCCTTAAAAATAAGACAAAAATGACTTAAATGTCTCTCCCTCAATAATGCGGTTTATTTTTGTCAACGTTAAAAACACGATTCTGAATGCCCTTAGTAGTTGCATCAACTTAAACAGTACATTCAGCTTTACAAACAAAGTCAAATTGTTTCGATGCAGATCTGTGTGGTAATTGGTCAATAAATGTTTCTTCTGAAGCAACTAAAAGAATGATGTGTTATTCTTTCTCTAGACGAGTAACTTGCAGGTCAACTGATAACAGTTTTGACAATAAATAGGTGTAAGAATTCTTGCAAAGTAATATTGA